GCGACACAGCGCCCACACAACTCTCTGTTCGCACACACAGGATCACCCTGGATATCCCACACACGATACTCTGTACACACATATGCACACACACACTAAAGTCTACCTACAGCTATGGCGGCTATGGCCGCTGCTAACCTATCGCTATGGCTAAGCTCCTTCTCACCCACTTCGTCTTCGGGCTCACTGCAGACCACCTCGCACAAGTCGCTTGTGGTAGCGCTTCCGCATGGCTTACGCAGGAACGAATGAATGGTTGGGCGCTGCTCTTTGATTTATACTTCTGTAGTTCGTTGGTCTGACCCTTTCCCATGCCCGTAGTGCACACAGTCCCATGTGGTATTTGCTTGACTGGACTAGGACTGACTGGGACTGGGACTGCTAACTCAGCACGGGTAGACTCCACCACTTGCCCACTTGCCTCAGCCTAAACGTGAGCAACTTCGAAAGGCCACTGCTAGGACCTTCCGAAAGGCCGTGGACTTGGCCTTTCGCTACTGTAGCAGCTACAACCTTGACCTTTCAGGACTGTAGCAGCTACGACCTGGACTCTTCGGAAGCTCTACAGCTACGACTTCTAGAACTGCCTAAGACTTCTACTCGACAGGTCTACAGATCGAACCCCTGCTGCCTACGGACCCTATGATAGTCTACCAACTGTTACAATTACACGGGTCACGGGTTCAACTCTCTGGGTCGACACAAAGGCTGAACTCGCGAGAGTTGAATACGACTATGAACACACTGCCAGACGGGACCACGAGTAACCTTGAGAAGCCCCTCATTCTACTCGGATATTGGAGGGTACAGATACGACGAACAGCTACTTTGCATTGAAGAATCTGCTAACCCCTGCAACGAACAAGTTCGACAGAACATGAACGAGACCGTCAGCCACTTCTCATTGGGAAACTGAGAGCTTGAACAGAACGAACAGTCGCCCCCTTAGCGATACGCTGAGTACTAGCTGAGCAGACGTGCATCCCTGCTGCAGGCGAGACGAACCTCCTTCAACTGCTGATTGGCTAGTCGAGTTACACCGCGGCAGAAGGGTCAGACACATCACAAACCGTTGACGGTGAGACTGATACCCACGCCTGTCAGCTGGCTAACTGACTCCTCTCACTAGAGGCGGGACTGTCTCATCACACTGGTTGGATGAGCAACATCGAGCTTCCCGCTGGAGGCGGGTCAGAACTCTCACACTCGGTGAACAACTAAACGATCGTTCTTGTGGCAAGCGGGTTGCTAAGCTGAAAGGGGTTAAGGGAACAGGTGAGAGGTAAGGCCGACCGTTCAAAGAGAGCTAATTTGGTATATGCGACGGCTTTTCTTATGTTTTGTTTTATTCTCTCATTTTGCTTGCTTTCATTTAACTTAACGTGACTTTAAAAACAACCGACTCCCTGGGATGGAATGAATCACTCAGAGGAAGGAGAAGATACCGAGTGAGGCTTCAGGGACAACAAAAGAGTATGAGAGTATGCGAAGGAGAGAGAGAGGGAATACAGGGTGTAAGAGAGAGAGGAGAGAAATCTTGACAGTCCGCTGTGGGAAGGTGTAAACTAAGTGAACTACCAGCTGCCCTGATCACTCATTCACAGATTTGGGGTTCCCGAGGCTCTCGCGGTGGTCGTTGCTCGAATCAAATTTGTACTCTCTCGAATGGACGTGGGGTATTATATTGCCTGATTCGGAAAAGAGCTACATTGGTTTAATGTTGCGTTAATCTCGTCAGCTCGAATGACTGAAAAACTCTCATTACCAAGTAACTGACTAACTCGTCTGGAACCTCTCTCTTTCACTGTCCGCTCACTGGTTGGACGGGTGGTACTCAAAATTGAGAAATTTGAAAGTTCATTGCATACTGATCAATTGAGCAGATATCGCCCAGTGACTGTTGAACCCTTCGATGCTACTAACTATCATTGTGTGTTGGTAACTGATCGCGGGCTGCTCATGTGATTAGTACAATCAAGTTCCAGGTCCGAATATCAGCAAAGGGATTTCCTCAGAAAGTCGGGGGCCGGTGGGGGAGAAACTCTCCGACTCTCAATTGGTTGCCCCTGTCGCATCACCCCGCCCCCGAAACAAGTCAAACCATCGGAACGTCGTCCTTATGTTATGTCTCTGAATTAAGAGATATCATTTGTGCTAAGTTGGAATATAGCATTCAGCTGCGATCATCAAAAGTCGGTGGGGGTACCTCCACTGTCGTCCTGCCGATCGCTAAGGACCTTGGAGCAGGGCGCAACGAGTGACAGGCGCTGTTGCCCATGGCTTCAGCGAACGGTAGGTAGCCCTCCCCGGGTTTCCTCACAACGTTGAAAGAGGTGGTTATGCCTTCCATCCTCGACATAACTTCAATGGCCTCAAGCTCCTCTTGGTCACAGAGCCACTGCTCCAGCACCGGCCAAAATTGCCTCACTCCACCCTTCTAGTAGACTTACTACCCTGAGCAACCCTTCCTCTACTGCACGAGCCCACCCAAAATTCCTCCAAACCATACTTCCGACTTACACCTTCCCATTTAAGAAAACCAAAAGGAAAAGCGACAAGAACTAGAATCACTAACAATCCATCTCCTTCCCTCACCACAGATGAAGGACACGCCGCCCAAGCTTTCAATCCTCGTACCATAAATCATTAGATTTCATACCCCCCCTGCTATGGTTATAAGGCTATACAAACTGCCCCAACACCGACCTAATTGTTTCTGACGGATAGAGAGTGTTTTCCCCCTCGACAACTCCCTTAACTGTAAAGCCCCTTAAAAGGTTACAGGGTCACCGCCTCGGCAACAGCTACGTCGGGCGAGATAGTAATGCCTTCCACCCTCGACATAACTTCAATAGCCTCAAGCTCCCCCTGGTCACAGAGCAAATGCTCCAGCACCGGCCAATGTCGCCCCACCCCACCCTTCTGATAATAGACTTACCGCCTTGAATCGTTGATCCCTCCTCTGAGTGAACCCCCCCACTTCCCACCTGCCTCTAATTTGACCTTCCCCCTTTCGTTTGCAAGACCACCTCCTAGCAAATCTGAACTACAACTTCTGAAAACCTACAACAGATTTAGAATTAGATTAAAGATGGGTAAACGTAGGACATCAATTCCACTTTGAGACAATCAATTAGTAACTCTTTGTAATTCAAACTTGAATAATCGTTCATTGGAATCAGAGCAAAACTCTGATTTACGCATTCTAGATTAGGAATCATGCTCAGAAAATACGAATTTAAGATGAGAAATCCTGCTCATAAAATAAGAATTTCATATTAAGAATCTTGCTCAAAATAGGAAATACAAATTTCGGATTAGGGATCAAATTTATCCAGAAAACACATAAGATCTCATGAATCAGATGTTAAACAAATCACAATTCTAAAAACGAAATCATTCAAAAACATCCTCTGAAAAAAATTCAGAAAAGCAACCACAACTCAGGAAAAATCAGGGGGAAAAGGCATGGCGAATCAGAAAATTCACGACTGGCAGCAAGACATGAAAATCTCAATTAAAATTTTGATACGTCACATCATTGGAATCCTTTTGTCAAGAAGATCAAGAATCATGAATTAAAATCACCAACGAAAAGTCAACCTCAAAATGGAAAGCTTGGATATTCGAAGATTATTAGTAGAGTTCGAATTATAGTCAAACCACATGTGGGCTGAATCCTAATCCAATAAAAAGCAGCCTCCCATCCCTTATTCCTCAGCCAAGCCACTTACCTCACACCCCTCAAACCCTACCCCTATGTTTTTGGGGAAGGAAAAACTCCCTTCCTCCCACTGCAAGCATCTCGGCTCAAAGCAAAACTAGCACCAAAGACATGAACGACCATCTTCAATCCCCCGAAGGAAATCGAAAACAGTGTGGCACCCCCTCGCCAAACCTGTTGACGAGTCGCCACAGGGGGTTCAAAACCACCATAACTATACTCATACCATACTGTTGAGGAAGAGGAAAGGGTTTTCAAAAACGAAGAGGACAAGTCATAACCTAATACGGCGCCTCCTCATCCCCCTGCCCATCTGCCCTACCCTCCTCCCCCCTACCTTACCACACACCCCATCTCCTACCGCACACCACCATATCCCACCGTCCACCTCGTCGCCAGATCTCCCGTACTTACCCTTTCCTCGCCTCACTTCTTTGCGTCGTCACCCATCGTGTCGCCTTGTATGTTCGCCCACCGCATCGTCTGGCTCTCCGGTAGATCCCGCGTCGCACCGCTTCGTCTCCGAAATTGATCCGGCGGGGGCGCAACGCTCCCGGTCGCGCTGCGCCCGTTTCCCTGGGGCCTTGCTCCTTCCTCTTTCTTTGACTCTTTGCCTTTTTGGCTGTGTGCAAGTGGGTCGATATGACACACGGGGGTGGAGGCAGCCACCGCTCAACCACATCCACGTGGGCAACCTTGTACGCAAGAGGTTTTAAAAAAGGAGAGGCAGGTGGGGGTTATTATGGGGTCGGTCGTGCCACTCTGTAACCTAGTAGTTGGGGGCATGAGGCCTGGTTGAGATTGGGCATCGGGATATAGGGGTGAGGCAGGTAAGGGTTGGGCTGCTGAAAGGCCTTAAGGCAGGTGGTTTTTTGCTGAATGCTTCTTTGATTCGAGCTTTGGGGGACACAAAATTTCAGTGTTCTTGTATAAAAAAAAAAAAAGTCGAAGCTGGGTAATAGCCCCGGTATCTCAAGGATATCTTAAAAAAAAGGTTTGTTTACACGTGGTTCTGAGAATGCTTTAGGATTTTGGGGACTTCTAGCAACTCGCTTTAGGCTGTTTGATACTGGTACATTCATGGATCTGCGGTTGTTCGATACCAGAATGACGTTGGCTGGTGCTGGGGTGTCGCCTTGTAACCTGCTGACTGCAGGAGCGTGAGGCCTGGTAGAGAGATCTGGGAATGCTTTAAGGTGGGCATTCCAAGGGACAACCAAGGGTTTTTGTTGGGACGACGCTGATCGGAGCTGGGGCGAGTCGTGTTGCTCTGTAACCTTGCCGGGTGGAGGCCTGGGAGAGCTCGACAGGGAATAAAACAGTGTTGGACAGTTTTAAAGAGTTTTGTTTGGGAGTCTAGGGGTTATGAGCATTCGAAAAGAGGTCAGTAGTCATTCATAGTTTTTCAACCTCTTTTTAATTTTTTTGAATTTCTTCAATAGTTCTCAATAGTTCTCAAATTGATTCTCAGCCGAAGTCGGGTAATGGCCCCGGTATCTCAAATGACTTGTGTAGCTCTGAGTAAGGACTCCGGCGGGCCTGCGAGGATGAGAGTGAGACTTAGAGGATGCGCTAACGCTAGCGCCCTGACGCGGACGGACCGGTAGGCCCGGTACCCTCGGCTCGACTAGCGCCTGGGGAGGTGTGCTTCCAGGCTACTAGGCTTGCACGCGCGCCCGAGAGAAGCACATGGCTCTTTGATTGCCACGTGGCATCCGTTGTAGGTGACGTATGCGTCCATGATGCGTGGGCAGGGGTAGTGCCAACGGTGAAGCATGACGACGAATAGCAATAGGTGGCGCATCAATCTGGGTGTGGAATGGAGATGGAGGGGGAACTACAACGTGGAGCACTTCCATTAGAGGATATGCTCGTCCATAATGAAGACGACCTCTTGCTTGCAGAGGATACTGTAGGTGAGCAAAAAAATGATTTGGACATGCTCCGCTACCTTACAGCGGTGAAGCATGACGACGAATAGCAATAGGTGGCGCATCAATCTGGGTGTGGGATGGAGATGGAGGGGGAACTACAATGTGGAACACTTTCACTAGAGGATATGCTCTTCCATGATGAAGACGACCTCTTGCTTGCAGAGGATACTGTAGGTGAGCAAGAAGATGATTTGGACATGCTCCGCTACCTTACAAACCTCTGCGCTCAGTGCACTCTGTGTGAGAGCTGGGATTCCAAATGTGAGACGAGTTGCGATGCTGTTGTGCTTGAGAGCAACGAGCATAAGGGGGGGGGCAGGAGAGAGGTGGGTTAACCTGATGGCACTCTCTTATCTGGTAGAGGATGAGGGTGCCGCAGGCGATGGAGAGAGGGACTATGCCACTGATGATGAAGGTGAGTGGGAGGTTGATGATGTGATTGTAGTTGGTGATGGTGATGCAGGTGAGTGAGAAGGGGAGTGGGGGCTATTGGCATCGGTGGAAACGGCGGCAGCAGCAGCAGCGGCGGCAACGGCGAAAGCAGAAGCAAATACAACAATAGTAACAACAACAACATCAACAACAACAATAATGGATGTAGAGCAGGGGTGTATGGTAGAGGTGGTGGTTGTAGTAGACGACAGGCAAGGAAGGGGTGAGATTGACGAGAAGGGTGGGATGGTTGATGGCGACGAGCAAGGAATGGGCGAGATCCACGAGAAGGTTGGGATGGGTGACAACAACAATGATAACAACAACAATAACGGCGGCGAGCAGCGACTGAGCGAACTAGCTCAGACGGGCATGGAGGAGGATAACAACAACAACAACAACAACAACAACAACAACAACAACAACAACAACAAGAGCGATGACGTCAACAACAACAACAACAACAACAGTAACGAGAACAACGATGATAATCAGGGACTGGGGGTAAAGGGTGAGGAGGGTGAGAAGGATGACACTGTCAACAACACCGACGGTGATAACAACAACAACAACAACAACAACTACAACAACAACAACAACAACAACAATGACAACAGTAATAGCAACAAGAACGACAACATAATTTACGGTGGCGGCGATAACCATATCAGCATCATGGGAAAGATGCCGCCATCAGTACAGTGGGGGATAATTTGTGGCTTGTTGCAGCTGGTGAAGTGGGGTTCGAGGTTGAAGGTAAGATTTACTGTTCTCCCCCACCCCAACCCGATGTTTTCTCATGATGAATCGTGTTTTCTTTTCTGGTGCAGGGTGGGGATAGGATAGAGGATCGCTCTGAGATGATTAGCCTTAATTGCCTCTCATCTTCCTAATCCTCAACTTTTAATCACGAAAGCACTGTTGATGTTTACCTTTGGCTATTGCTGTTGAGCATATGTGCAAAATATTAGGTATATACATCATTGTATAGAGGATATAAGATTTACGAGCAGGAGGTCAATCCTTCCCCTGGGTTGGAAGTAATCAATGCCTCTGCTCCTTTTGGTGATACAGGTGAGCCAAGTGCAAATATGGTACTTTAGAGATGCCGGATTCGGCTTCCAGCTTACATGCAGTACATCAACTCTGGGGCTTCGCTTCATATCGGTGTTAGGGTTTAATGTTAGGGTTTCATTTTTGGATTGTTTTACAGAATTGGGCTTCATGCCCCGCTTACTATGATCCTATGCTGGGGTAGGGGATAGGGTTTTCCCTTTAGGGGAAATGTACATTTGGCATAGATTGCTTTACGTGCATGCATACGTAGTTGGAGACATCAATACATCTCTGCATAGGGCCAACGGACCCGATTTCTAGTAGATCCATTCACATCATTGTACAGGGACGCTGGACCCGATTTCCAGCAGATAAGACAAACAGATTGGACAGTGTCGGACTGTAGGACATAGGTCCATGAGACATAGATTGCTTCCAGCAGATAAGACAGACAGATTGAACAATGTCTAACAATAGGACATGATAGGTCCATCAGACATAGATTGCTTAAAGGTGCATGCATAGGTAGTTGGATATACTAATACATCTCTGCATAGGGATGTTGGACCCAATTTCCAGCAATTTCATTCACATCTTCGTACAGGGACGCTGGACCCCATTTCCAGCAGATACATTCACATTACTGTACAGGGACGCTGCACCCGATTTCCAGCAGGTGTAGCTCCCCACCAATAGATGGAGCCTTCGACGTCGAGACCTACTTACCGGGGATGCTCTTATCACCTCGTTAAGTAGGTTCCTGTACACGAAGTTTCAAAAAAAAAATAAAAAAAATAGAAATGACTTGTGTAACTCTATATGGGACACTGGGCCCGGTTCCCAGCACGTGCTGCTCCCCACGAATAGACTGGAACATTAGTCCCCCCCACCCCCCCAAAAAAAAGAGAGTAAGAAGATAAAAAACTAGGTTACCAATGGTCGGGAGACCAGACGTCTCCTCCGAACGTTCGTGGTCCGGGTCGTCCGGGTTTCTGAACAACGGTTTTTTGGGGCAAAAAAAAAGTAAAAAAAAAAAAAAAAAAAGGTTGTCTTGCGCTCTTTACAGGGCCCCCCACAACAAATTTCACGTGAAACAGCGCACTTTTGTGAAATAATTAGTAGTGGGGGGTGGGGGGGGGGGGTAGGGGGTTACAAAGGACTTGCCTGCTATGTTTGCTGCTGTCTGCTGCATCTGTAGCACTTGCACCATGTGCAACAGTTCCTTAATTGATTGATTGATTGATTGATTGATTGATTGGAGGCGGGTGATGGCAGAGAAGGCGGGTAAGACACATCATTCAATCAATCAATCAATCAATCAATCAATCAATCAATCAATCAATCAATCAATCAATCAATCAATCAATCAAGTTGTTTGATTGGATGATTGATTAATTGATTGATTGATTGATTGATTGATTGATTGATTGATTGATTGATTGATTGGGTCGAAAGTCGACGGAGGAGGTGGCGGGCGGAGGTGGGCGGAGGCAGGCAGAGGCGGGGGTGGGCGAATGCGGGCAAAGGCAGGCGGAGGAGGTGGTGGGAGGAGGCATGCGGAGGTAGGCGGAGGCGGGCGAAGGAGGCTGTCTCTTATACACATCTAGATGTGTATAAGAGACAGGGTGAGAGGTAAGGCCGACCGTTCAAAGAGAGCTAATTTGGTATATGCGAGGGCTTTTCTTATGTTTTGTTTTATTCTCTCATTTTGCTTGCTTTCATTTAACTTAACGTGACTTT